TTTTTCTAATTGGGCCAATATGTTGATAATGTTGATATCTTATCTTACCGCCGGTCCTTGTGTTGAAACCAAACTAGTCCAGCATCTGCTACAAATACCACCTTCTCCTTTAGCAAATGCTTCTCTTTTGTACATTGTAAAATAAAAAATGTAATAACCAAGCTGAATGAATTAAAAGCTTGGCATTTTTTTTTTTTTATAATTCTTTATTTTTGTGGTGCGAATGGTTAACACAAGCTCTTGCCATGCCCCAACAGCAGGTACAAGATTGGTAAAATACATACATGAAAAGGTATAAGGCATAGAAGGTCACTGCACACATTTTTTTTTTTTAGTTAAGTAGCTAGGTCACAGCGTAGTCAAACATGTCTATATAGCAAAACATAAGATGTGATCGATGTGAGTTACGTAGACCTGTGAGTGAGTATAAAACAAGCTGGTGAGACATGAGTGATAACAGAGTAAAATAATAAACAAATAGATTATTAGGCAAACACATGTGTCAGTGTAAGAGTAATTGGTAACAGGCTGTCTGAACGCATGCCTAATGAATGCTATATAAAATTATAAAAACATAAAATTGCAAAATAAAATAGTAATCATGCTGGATCTAGGTAAGGAGCTTTAGAGAAGCTATCACCCTGGTTGATCGAAGTTACTGGAGCTTATGCAAAAGACAGGAACCGGCGCCATGGCGGGTCTGAGACCTCACATAAGGGAGCAGTCGTATGATTAGCTGTTGCCTGCTCTGCCGTGTCGGTGTAGCAGGAAGTGAGTGTCTGTCGAGGCAGGAGTCTGGGCTCAGTCCAGCAATACTTTTCGCTGAATTCCTCGCTGGATTCCCTTGGGCCGCAGCTGTTGTAAGTCGGGCCAGCCATATTTGATCATCATCAGGGGACCAGTGTCCACCAAGGCAGGGAGCTAGATTTTATCCAATAAAACTTGCCACTGACTTATACGCTGGATTTTTGGGGCCGTCGCAATACAAGATTGGTGTACGGTGAGAAAGGGGTCACCCTCTGTTGCAGGAGTACTTCGCTTAGCGGCAGGGTCGATTGTCCCTGGAGGGTATGGTCGTTGTGCTGTATTCCGTCCCCTCTGTGCTGCAGCTGTCATCAGCTTGATTGGATCGCCTGCACAGCTTGTCACTGGCTTGGGTTGTTGCGGGGACGGATGAGAGTTCCTCCGTCTGTTTGCATTGCGAGGTAGGAAGGCTGCAAGCCCATCAAGCTTGTGCCCGGGAGCCGCGCTGATTACTGTGAGCGCTGGGAGAGAGCAGTTCTTCCCTCTGTCTTCGGTGCACATGGCGCCCGCCATTTTAGATGCAGCGCTCAGGCCGCCGATCGACGTGGTGTTGTCGCTGCGCCTTGGCTGCAGTTCCGCGGTCGGGGCAACAGGGTGAGGACCGGGATCACCCCCACCGGTCCAGAGGGGGGGGAACAGGGCCAGGGTCACGCGGGTTTGGGCCTCTGGCTGGGTTCTGTTAGGCAGGATAGCGGGGCAGCGGCCGTCTGCCCCACTCACCGCCGGAGAAGGCCCCAACTGGGACATCGAAGATTTCTCCTCCAGGGGACTGAAACTTGGGGAGCCAGCCTCTCCCTGGATCCAGTGTTCCCTTTGTGCTAAGGACCAGTGCTGTTGGTCTGCTTTTAGTTCAAAAGTCATGTTTTAAAGGCTTAAACGTTGATACGTTGCAGGAGCTGGTCTTGCTTGCGACCATCCAGCTTGGTGGTCCGGCCCCGCCCCCCAAAAGCTTGGCATTTTAATTACAAACCATATTTATCTGTTCTGTTTAAAACCTAGCTGACCCCTACCCAACAAAAAGCAAAAAAAATAAAATTAAACAAACAACCTGGTAGTGTTTTTTGCCATCCAGGGTAATTCATGCTATAGGCATGACCTTGCAAGAAAAGGTCTTGCTGTGTGTGTGAAAACAATAAATACCCTTTTGAAATGTAACTTCTTCTTCCTTGCCCATTTTAACTTTCTATCCAGCCTAATAAGACTTCCATTTACAAAACAAGTGAATTGTTAGCATCGACCATCTACTGCAGAACACCAATCCGCCGAACATGAAACCATATGAATGCCGTAAACAGCCGAATAGGAAAAACCATACGAATAGGTTTACACTCCTAGCAGTCGAACTGGAACAGCATACAATAAATCCCCCCAAGAATGAGACAGGGCTCTGTTTTGAGGGTCAAGCAGTGAACAGAGCTGTGGGTTTATTGTTCTTATATACACATTAGTACCACCCAGAGGGTTTTGGAAAACAACCAATAAACACGTACAATACACTCAGACACTCCCACACAAAATCCCCCCCTCTGCCTGTGATAAAATTACCTTGCACAATGGGTAATAGAATTATCACAGACAGAGAAATACAGTTTTTCCACATTATTCATAACTTTAAAAGTATGCATCACATTCAGATAACACTTACATTTTCAGAATCAGCATACTCCAAATACGAACATGTGTCAAAATAATCCACATTGGTCCATTGGTTCAAAAGATAGATTGAAGTCCTTTGTGACCAAAGGAAGCATGGCTTTTTTGCCCAAAACCAGTTCCACAGAGTCTTCTATCCTGGAGATAATTGGGAAGTAATCCAATTAACTCTAAGGACAGAGGCAAAACTCCATTAAGCACATGGCAGTAAAAAGACCGTAAAATACAATAAAATACACAAGGTTACATTTATTACATAAAATACAGACATACAACATATCCCCAGATAGCTTAGGTCTGAGCACACATTATTACTGAATGGCACTCAGACCACACACATACAGTTTAATTGCCATGGAGGCAAAGTCTTTCCCATAGTCTTTCATTATACGAATGGACTCCATGGCATAGCTATCTGGGGTATCACCGCTCAAACAGGGCAAGCACCGAATGACCCGGCTTTCGTGTCTTTGCAGGGGAAAATCAAGCGTTTCAACATGGGGCCATAATCTAAAGGCAGCAGGCGGGCAATCAGGCTCCTCCAATGCACAGTGGTGAGATTGGTCTCATCACATCTTTCCCCTTTTCCAAACAGACTAACAAGGTATCTGACCTCCTGCCGGTCAGTGTCCTGGTTAGTCCAGCAGCCCACCTACAAAACACAATCAGCAGTACAGCCCACCCACAATAACTGGTTACTACTCCTGGGTAGAGGAGAAACTTGTCCATGTCCAGGTGCCTCACCACAGCTGTGCTGGGTACTGGTAAGCTGCCTTGGTGGGTTGCTGAGTGGGCAGAGACCAGAGGTACTCTACCCTGGTGCCAGCGCTACCACGGAAGTAGCCTGGTTGGAGCCTGGTTGTTGGAGGGGGAGACCGACTGTCTCCCCTTTGGATACACAGCTCTGCTGCTGGAGGGGGAGACCGACTGTCTCGCCTTTAGATACACAGCTCTGCTGCTGGGGAATGGAGACTGGGCTCCCAATTCCCTGCAATTCACTCTGCCGCTGGGGGACAGGACCAACTTTCTCTCCCCCCTGTAACTTAGCCTGCCACTGGGGAATGGATACTGGGCTCCCAATTCCCTGCAGGACCGGTGGAGAGACCTCGGTCCCATCTCCACCGGTCCCATCTCCACCGACCCAAGATCTGGGTCTGTCACTTGCTGTCCTGCTGAGTATTCCCAGTGGAGTGGAAGCGATCTCGGTAGTCCTGCTCCAGTTTCCACTCCAGGCTTGCAAGGTGAGCCAGGTCTTGCTCTACCTCATGGGGGTCATCCCAGTCATGTCTAGCCTCCCTCTCATTGAAAATGTCCTGAAGTCTGGTCTGCGCAGGGCTCCCGAAGTCAGGCTCTGCAAAGGACTCCCATAACAAGCCTGGACTATCAAACTCCTCACCCTCTGGCTTGTCATGCTCAGCTGTCCAGGGTATATGCTGTGCCATATACCACCAGAGCGCCTGGTAGGCATCCTCCAGCCATAGCTCCTGCCATACCCGGTGCTCTAGTTCCTTCACCCATTCCTCCAGGGGCTGCTCTCCCAGGAAGGGTATCCGCAGGGCCACTTGCTTCTGCAACCGCTGCTCTTCACTGGGGAGACTCTCACCCCGCTGGCATTGTACATTATCCAGGGCCTGGTACCAGATGCCTTTCCTTAATGCATCCCGGCCATCCAGGTCCTCCTTCTCGTATAACACTTCTGGTTCCATTCTGTTGCTTTTAGGGTCGCTGTACTGGGACATGCGTTGCCCCCAACTTGTAAATCCCGGAATGGTGTCTCCTGTAGCTGTCCTTCTGGCTGTGGGAATGATCCCGCCGCTTGCCACCAATTGTTATGACACCCCTGGCACAAGGGAGTGAAACCGCCGTTTAGTTGAGCTTCCCCTTTCGCAATAATGCAAACTCCGTTTGTTTAGACTCCAACTGTACGAACTGCAATCAGGGGAATGCGCCAATCTCCTGAACGGGACCCGTACGGGTGCACCAACTCCTGAACGGTAAACCCACGAATCACTGCTAACAGACGAATCAATATATCCTCCAAGCGGCTTACACTTCCATCAATCAGTCGCTATTTGTGTGTAGTAAATTCCCCCCAATAACGAGACCAAGCTCCGCATTGAGGGTAAAACAAGAACCGGGTATACGGTGGGCTACCCGCCTGTATTTATGCAGGTCTCCCGCTTGGTGGACACTCCCCTAGGGGACCAAATGGGAGACTGTAATAGCAGACAGACATATAGCATGTTAGGACACACAGGCACAGAATATTCCCAGCATGCATCATGGTTTCCTCCCCTCTGCCCTGGAGATAATTGAGAAGTAATTCAATTATCTCCCAGGACAGAGGCAAATTGCCATTTTAAATGAAACATAAAAAACACATAAAAATGAGTAATTGTACAAATACCAAACATTTTCCATTCGTGCAACATATCCCCAGATAGCCTGGATCTGAGTGCATATTCTTAGCGAATAGTGCTCAGATCCCATACGCACAGTTCTATCGCCATGGAGTCAAAGTCTTTTACAGTCTTTCGGTATGCGATTGACTCCATGGGAAGGCTATCTGGGTTAAGTCCATTCGTGTAGTCCAAACTCCCGAACGGCCAGTGTTCGCATGCCTTTGTCGACTGAGAAGGGCGGTCTGTGGTTTTAGCGGTGTTCGGCAGAAAAAGTGTCAGTTTTTAGTTCCATAGAATCTGTGCCGAACACCGCTGGTCTTTCGCATGGTTTAAAATGGCCGCCGCCTCGTGGTCGACATACGAACGATGACCACCCTCTATTCGGTTATAATTAAAAGGTGTCTGCAGTTAACCACAACGTTCTAATTGGGATCAAGAGGTTACCAGCAGCACACTTCTCTTCTGGGTGGCCGTCCGTTCAGTAAGTTCATTCGGTGAAAAGTGAAACAAACGAATAGGGGTATACGGACAGGTAATTCCGCGAATAGAGGCAAAACAGACGAACCAGCAATCTCAGTCTATACAGATGGATCTGTCACATACCTAATTACCCAACACATTCTTTTTTTTAACACAAGAGTGAACTGTTGGTATTTGAAGATTTTAATGTGAATTGGATGGCTATAAATATGGCAAATTGCACAATGTTTCAACTTAACACAATCATTTACCTCGCCAACTTGCCTTTTTCTATGAAGCTTTAACCGTACTCTTCTGGATGTACTTATTTACAACTTACTATTCTCTATATTTATTAATAACGGTTTTGCTATGTATGAAACAGCAACTGTCTGATGACACACACAAGCATCTATACAAGTAAATCAAATCATATAAATAAGCCACAGATGTTTTTGGATTCTGTTCTGTGGACCGATGAAACAAAACTGGAACTTTTAATCTCATTGAGCCATTGGTATCTCTGGAGGAAGTAGAATTAAACATATGCTGATAAGAAGAGTCTGCCTAAAGTTAAGCATGGTGGTGGCTCGATAATGCTCTGAGGCTGCTTTGCATCCTTTGGCATTGGAAACCTGCAGCATGTGGAAGGGAAGATGGATTCATTGAAGTATCAGAAAATTCTAGGAGAAAATGTTATACCATCTGTGAGGAAGCTGAAGCTTGGGAATCATTGGACTTTCTAACAAGACAATAATCCCAAGCATACCTCAAATTCCACAGAGGCTTGGTTGCAGAAGAATTCTTGGAAAATTCTACAGTGGAGATCACAGTCACCTGACCTGAACCCCATAGAAAACCTCTGGTTAGATTTGATGAAGGCAATTGCCACACCCAAACCCAAGAATGCATTTTTAATTAATTTGGGGAGACCACTCGAAGCATTCATTGTGTTGAGCTATTTCAATTGATTTTGTTTGACTTATTTATTGCAAACAGCTGAAGGTCTGTAAATTTGGACAATAAACCAGATTTTCAATGGACGTTTAATAATTTTGACTACAACTGTACCTTTGATAAGTAAGTCTTGTAGTGCCAATGGGGATTCACCTCTACTATGGTCAGGTAGAAGGTACATGTGGCCGCCAAGTCATCCATTACCCTTTCCAGTATCTCCCACAGCGCTGTCTTCAGTGATTATAGCAGTGAATAGTAATATAGCTCCCCCCCCCATACATTAGTCGAGACTTAATGCTGGGAGTATAACTGGTTTATTCAGTCTGGATACACAGAATTTATATACAGACCCCCAGCATGGGATCTCTATAGAAAATAACTCAAACTCCTCCCAGGCGTCCCTGTGTCTGAGAGATAATTGAGTCAAAGGTTGATAACTCAATTATCTCTCAGCTACAGGGAACCATACATAAAATATAGAAAAACACCCCAAAATCACATTTAACTTTCATAGTAACCCCACAAATAATATATCCCCAGATAGCTCGGGTCTGAGTGCCCAAGTTGTCCAAATAGTGCTCAGATCCGTTTGGTGGAAATAAATCGCCATCGGGGTAAAGTTCTGATCAGCCGGTAACCAGGTTGTAGTTCAAAACAGTTCCAGGTAAAAAGAGGCAGCGGCCAGTCAACTTTCAGGAGTTCCTGTGTGAAGGCTCCCCCTGGCTCTTAGCGAGCAAATGCTCCCCTCAGACGAATTATTCTTTTCCCCGAAGAGCACTCTTCTGGCTTGTCTGTGAGAGGAACAAGTGGCGGTACAAGTTCACCGGTGTTCGCGAGTTGGAGTAGACAAAATCAGTTCCAGGTGTTTAGAAGATAAAGTACCACTGCCTGTGTTCAGCAGACAAAATGGGCACCATGCCATAAAGCATGTGTTTAGTCATTTGAATGGCGGTCCCCCCCCAAGAGTGCACTTGAGTTAATGACTTCCTTTGATGATAATGAGCCAGGGGTGGTCTGGGTTCGGGGGCTTATAAAAGGGGAACACATTTCTTCATTCGGGAAATTAACAAAGGGGTACAGAAAAGCGAACAGAGAGAACCAAGGTAGTTGGGTTGGAGGAGAATAAAACAGGTGACAGGGTGTTCTGTCACAGTCCAGAACCGGGATGATAAAAATTTATTAAGCTATCAACAGTTCCGTAACTTATGGTTACTTTGTCTTATTATAGATTTATATACATTTGATTGTGTTGGAATAGCAATGAAATTCCAAGAAAATCTGTATGTGTTTTTAATAAAGATACTACCTTTATGAAAAAATCGGTGCTGCTTTAAGGTTTAGGGTAATGGCCAGGAGCAGTGCATAGCATATATTTTAGTATATTTTGAGTATGACACAGTAGCTCAGTTCAGGGGCGTACCTAAACCTCTGGCAATCCCACCCCCAACTTTAAAATATACAAAACACCCCCAAAAAATTATGTTTTTAAAACATTTTTGCACATATTTGTAAACAGTATGTTAGAAAGACTTCTCTCAAGGCACCATTAGAGACTACAATGGAGATAAATAAGCCCTCGGGAGGGGTTTCTCTAACACTCGGGCCCCCATTCACAATATAGTATTATAATATAGCTCTCCGATACTCTTCTCTACTCAATGACTGTAGCTTGGCAGGCAGGCTAACTGCTGTGGCCAGCTGATAGTCTGGTGTGGCTGGCAGGCCTCTTTCTCCCCCCTTTGTGCATCTCTTTCTCCCTCAACCCCTTTGTGTGTTTCTTTTTCCTCTTTCACAGTCCCTCTGTGTCTCTTTGCCTCCCCAGCCCCTCTGCTTGTCTTTGTGCCCCTCAGTGTGTATCATTAACCTCCTTAGTCCCTTTGTATGTCTCATTCATGCCTGAGCCCCTCGGTGTGTCTCAATCATACCCTGCACCTTCATATGTCTTATTCACCCCCCAGACCCTCCATGGAGTGGAGTGTGCCGGCAATTAGCCTCCCTGAAGCTGCGGTTAACCGCAGCTTAATTGACGAATGCTGGGTGGCCGCCATTCGTATCACGAACACAAGGTCGCGGCCATTTTAAACACGCGAACGCACAGCGGTGTTCGACGCTTAATTCATGGAACTAAAATAGTACACAGTTTTGAAGCCGTTCGGTAGTTTAACTTGACTATGTTATACCCCAGATAGGAATCCCATGGAGCCCATTCACATGAGAACTGACTGTGTAAAGACTTTAACTCCATGGCGATTACACTGTATTCGTGTGGTCTGAGCACCATTCGCTTAATAATGTGCGCTCAGACCTGAGCTATCTGGGGACATGTTGAATGTATAGTATTATTGTAACTTGTGTCATACTGTGTATTTTAATAGTAATTCATGTTTTAGTATCCCCACGTGCATAATGGCGATTTGCCTTTGTCTTGGGAGATAATTGAATTACTTCTCAATTATCTCCAAGGCAGAGGGGAGGAAGGCAGGATGCATTGTGGGAATATAATGTGACTGTGTGTCCTGTTTGGCTGATTGTCTGTCTTTTGTCACAGTCTCCCATTTGGTCCCCTAGGGGAGTGTCCACCAGGTGGGAGACCTGCATAAATACTGGGTAGGTAGCCCTCATTAAACAGACCACTGCTTGACCCTCAACACGGAGCCTTGTCTCATCTTTGGGGGGATTTACTGAATGCTGATAGAGACTGATTGCTAGGAGTGCTTTTCCTATTCGTCTGCTAGCAGCTATTCGTATGGTTCCAGTTCGTGAGTTTGGAGTGCTATATTGTATGCCGTTCGGGAGTTTGGAGCATTCCCTTATTGGCGGTTCGTGAGTTTGGTGTTCTACAGTAGCTGTGCCTGCATCTCTAAAAGGGGACGATCCCCTAAACGGTTTTTACCCCTTGTGTGCAAAACGGTCCGTTACATACAGTATCTCACAAAGGTGAGTACACCCCTCACATTTTTGTAAGTATTTTATTATATATTTTCATGTGACAACACTGAAGAAATGACACTCTGCTACAAATAAAGTAGTAAGTGTACAGCCTGTATAACAGTGTAAATTTGCTGTCCCCTCAAAATAACTCAACACACAGCCATTACTGTCTAAACCATTGGCAACAAAGGTGACTACACCCCTAAGTGGAAATGTCCAAATTGGACCCATGTTGTTGCTCCAAGGACAGAACTGTTTGCCATTATGGAGTCAATAAGGATTTTTTTCCCCCTTTAATTGGTCATTGATTCAACTTGTGTTTTTGGGGGGATTTATTGGCTTCTTTTGGTTCAACAGCATACAAAGATATGTTGAAAATGTTGAACTCAATGGATTGAGTCTTTTTTCAACCCAGATTACTATGCAACAATGTAAATTCTTCTAGTGAATTTTAATGTTAAATATACTAATCTGAGGCGTACCGTGCGGTTGGCGAAACCGGTGCCCGTCAGGGGCGCAGGCCAAGGGTGGGGCACAAAAATCAAGTGTCAGTGTGACAGGTGATTTTTGCGCCCCATGCTTGGCCTGTGCTCCCGGCACCCCAGGGAAGCGTGCGGCTCCATAAGGGAACCGCATGCACAGACACACTAGGAGGGGGAAGCTACCCGGCGCTCAGTGAGAGTGCATTGTCAGAGAGAGGCCACCCCCCCTTCCCTGCTCTCACAGGGGAGGGGGGAATGGGCAGAGACAAAGGAGAGTGGCATGGGCAGAGACAGGGGAGGTAGGCATGGGCAGAGACAAGGAAGGGTAGCATGGGCAGAGACAGGGGAGGGGGTAATGGAGAGAGACAGGGTAGGGGGGCATGGAGAGAGACAGGAGACAGGGGAGGGGGGCATGGGGAAAGAAAGACATGGGAGGGGGTATGGGAGACAAAAATACATGGGAGGGGGCATGGGGGACAGAAGGACATGGGAGGGGGCATGGGGGAGAGAGACACGGGTGGATGGGGGCATGGGGGGGAGAGTAACACGGATG